TCTGCAGGAAACCTATTGTCAGGCCCTTCTGCAGCACCTGCCTGGTTTCAGGCCAGTGCATTGTGATTCTTTTCCATACATCCAGTATTTCATTTAGCCCCCTGCTAGGACACTGTCCCCAGGCAGCTCTCTGGTGTCATGCCCCCGAGGGCATCCTCAGGACAGGCTGCAGCTCCTGGGACAGAGATGCAGGAGCAGCAGGGTGAGTCCGAAACTGCCTGCTCCTGTGCCACTCCTGCCTCTCCAGTCCCATCCACCCCCTTCTCTCTCCTGTGCCTGTGGACAGTCTCTGTGCTGGCACTTAGCACTGATTTGCTGCCCAGGGGGGAGCAGACAGCACCCCAAGAGAAGCAGAGCTGTAGCAGCCACTCTCTTACGTGTATGACCAGAGTTAAGGGCTCGCCGGGATGGTGCTTGATCCACTTCTCCTTCTTGGCTGTGAAGAACTGGGGGTCAGCGTAGTACTCGAGGCTGAACTTGCTGATGTGCAGAGCCTCCTCGGGGTACATCTCCTCGTCCAGAGCTGGGCGGTCGTCTGCATAGAGGCGCCCGTTGAGATAGAAATCCACGGGGGCTGGTTTGCTCCCCACAGTGATGTTGGTGGCAGCTGGAGAGGGGCAGGTGATCATGGTGTCGGTGTGAACCTTACAGCGCTGCAAGCAGGAGAGTGAGCACATCAGAACGTGGCACCACGAGTGCTCCCAGCCCACCCTGAGGCAATCACACCCCAGCCATGCTGGGGCACAGAGCCCCACTCCTGCCAGCAGGACAGGACACCCACCGTGTGCTCTCTGCCGATGCCACGGACAGCCATGGACACGTTCTGGACCAGCCCAAAGCCTTTTCCTTCCAGGGTGATGATCCTGCCCCCACTTTGAGGAGAAGAGAAGAAAGAGAGTGACTGCAGAGGACAGTGCAGCAGCAGGGTGTGATGGCTGTGTCTCCCTCCTGTCATTTTCCCAGAGATGTTTCCCAGCTGCTTGAGCAGAAAATGTGATCCAACAGCCAAAATCTTTTTCCTACTTGCAGCAAGGATCCAAACTGCTGCCATGATAGCAGGGAAGGAAGGAAGGAGGAGTAGGTGCTGTGGTGGAAAGAGGGGTGCTTCTTCCAGCAACAGTGAGCCGTTCCCCTTACTCCCACTGCCCAGAGGAGCAGCCTCAGCATGCCAAGGTATGCAGAAGACACCCTGGCCATGTAAGAACCTCCAACCCTGCAAAGCGAGGGTGAGGATATCACCAGGTAGTTATGATCCAAGTTCCTAACTAGGAGCCTGTCACATCTGCAGACTAGTTTACAACTTCCGTTCCAGTTTAAATTATTTTAGTAACAGGGTAAGAGATACTGGATTCAGTTAAATTTTCACACAAGTTATTGACTCCCTGTGGTCAACAGCCCAGCAACATGCCGGAGCAGTCAGATTGCACAAGCCACCACAGAGGCTGGAGAGCCTGCAAGTCACAGTCCCTGTGCTCTGGAATTTGGGAACTGCTGGAATTATCAAGGAAGCAGACTGAGGTGACCGGAGAAATACCCTGGTGGTTTCCCTAGTGATTCCAGGCAGGGACATTCTTCCCCCATCTCCTTTTAGACACTGCTCTAGCCACTCAGCAGTTGGGAGCCTGTGAGGGGCTGAGCCTGGCTGAGTCATGGCTCTGCCTTTCCACTAATGTTCCCACAGCCTGTGGCCTTGGCGCTGCGTTTGGGAAGGCAGAGAGGCAGCTTCATTCCAAGGGGATCAGACCACCAGGGCCTGCTCGTGCTCTGGGTGCACTGCTTTCACCAAGGTCCTGCCAGCACAGCCTCTGGCCCCCAGATCTCCCAGTCAGCTCTGAGTTTTCCAGGCCCCACAGCCGAGGAGGGTGGGATTTCATCACGGTATCCAAAGGAACAGAAGCCTGAGAGCTCCACAGAGAGACATGAAATTAAAAGCAACACGCTTTAAAAATGAAATACTGTGACCTCAGGGAAGGCTGAAATCCAAAATTACAAATCTCATCTTATCCTCCAGCAGTTTTACTGCCAAGAAAAATCCTCAAGGTCTCATTGAGCCCCCACCTGAACTTCCCTAAAGCACCCACCAGGTGTGTGCAGTACAATTACCAAGGCTGATATTTTTCCACTCCTAAATGCATCACAATGAGCTATGGGCAGTCGTGGTGTGTGAGACCTCTTCTACCCCTCTGCTGGGGTACCCTGGAGCACCCTGAGAGCACGCTGCAGTGCCCTCTGTACCCATCTGCAGGGCAATCTGTTCAGCCCCAGGGCTGAGAAGCCTTTTCTCCCAGCAGGTCCCTCTCCCACCAGCCTGGAGCTGAGCCCCTCTTTCACAGGCTGTCTTGCCTGGGGTGGGATCTCACCTGATCTGGCTCTTTTTGGGGTTGATGTCTGATATAACCGGGTTCTTCTCATACTTGAAGGTGATGTTGTGGCTGGCACAAGACTTGTTCTCGAACTGCACGCAGACTGGCACGGCGGCGGTGAGCGCCGCGGCGGGCATGGTGCAGGTGATGGTGCTGTCGGTGCGGCTGTGTGGGGAGAGGCAGGGGGAGCTACAGGTGAGGACGAGCCTTCAGTCACATGCCAACTGCCTGCTACTCTTGGCCTGCTCACCAGCAGTGCTCAGCACACACCATCCCAGCTGCTGGACCCATCCCCACCCAGCCAGGTGGAAAGGGCAGGCAGGGAGATGCTATGCCAGCATGCAGTGGTGCCCCCCACCAAAACCCCCACTCTGCCTGACCTCCTGGGGACAATACTATCTTTCCTAACACTGGCTCTTGTCACCAGCCCAGTGCCAGCCACCAGCCCCACTCGCACCTGAGGTCTGTGCACTGCTTGGAGGAGTTGATGAGGACGCGGAGTTCTGAGCCGACATCCAGCCTGCTGCCTCTGATGGTCACTCGGGTTCCTCCTGCCTTTGGGCCATTCACTGGAGCTATGGACTGCACCAGGGGAAGCTAAAAACAAAGGGCAAATCTGTTTTCTAGCCTGGTAAATCCACAGCTGGATACTCCACACTGCACATGGGAATAGAGCAGCACAGCAAAAGCTTTTGCTGGCAGGGTTTCGAAACAAGAGCAGAGGGACAGGCTCTAAGGAGTGAGAACATATAGAACCTCTGTGACTCTCTGTGGTCTCCAAATTCTGGCTACAAATGAGATGTGAGGCCAAAGGGGAGCCCAGGATGCCACCAGTCCCTGCAGATTTTCAGCAGGGGGTCTAGAGCCAGCGACAGCTCAAGGTCCACCGACAAAAGGAAATGTCTCATTCATTCCCTCTCCCACCATCTCTGCCCTTGCAGATCCATGTCCTCCTGAATGTGAGGATAATGTTAAAACCCTGCTGGATGATGGCCTTGAGATGGCTGGAAACAGCCACCTGGGTCTAGATAATTGAATATCAAACCCCTGCTTAAGGAAGCTTCAAATCTGCATCTCTTGAGGCGACAGGAACTGAGGGGGAAGTTACTTTGCCTCTTGCCATTTGTAGTAGAAATTAGCGTGTATGTTATCTGCGTTTGCAGCCCCTGGAAATCTTCCTGAGATTCATGAGCTGGAGGCTTTGATAACTCGCGCGGCACTGAGCCCTCGTGTCTGCTCACAGGAGCCCCAGGAGAGGCTGCAGGCAACCTCCCTGCTCCGTTTGAGCAGGACACCCAGGGCTGAGCAAATAGTCACCTCAAGACCCTTTCACAGGGCACTGGCAATTCTCTCTCAGCCCCCCCAGCCCATCCCTTGGCACACAGAGCAGACCCATGCGGGTGGGCAGCAGTGTGCAGGCTGAGCCTGCTGCTAATGCCCTTGCCAGGCAGTCCTGGCCAGACAAACCCACGTATTAACAGCTGCCCTTGCCCTTGTCCTACATTCAGATGGCTTCATTCCTCTGCAGCCATTTCCTCTGTTGTTTCTGACTCTCACCCATTTCCACAGGATCTGCTTTGTTAATTTGTGTTTCTCTGGGTGTTTGCAGGCAGCTGTCTCCTGCCCTTGGCCCCTAACCCACTCATTCATAAGTGCAGCTACAACAGCCACAGAGAGGATTATTCCTGTTCCCCAAAGCCCTCCAGCTCTTCCCCTCAGCCAGAGCCAGCGGCTGCTGCTCTCAGTGCCATCAATCGCTGCCACCGCAGCTCATCCATAGCCTGCTATAATGTCCTGGAGAAGCCTCTCCCTGCTCCTCAGCGCAATTACAGCTGAATTCTGTCTCTTCTAGACACTCTTAATGTCTTAGAAGGACACAAACAATATCTGGTATTTCACAAAGGACCTCCTTCGGAAGGGCAGCGCTGAAAGCCTGTTAAACTTTTCCAGGCAAACTGTGTCAATGCCAAAGCTCAGGTCTCACTGAGACCAGCCTTGCATGGTGTCAGCTACTCCATCTTCATGCCACTGGATGTGAGAGGAGAACCAAGAGAACTAGAGTGCTGCTTGGCCAGCAAATGGTGTGGAAGCCACTTTTGGTGGCTGAACTTTTGGATGCTGAACACATTGTTCAGCATCCCTCCCCAACACATGGTGCACGAGGCAGGGCACTCCCTCAACTCTGCTCCAGGCTCTGCTGAGACAGACAGACAGAAGCAGCTTTCTGCTGTACCACTTGAGCAGGGATGGCTCCTCTCCCACTCTGGGGGGATGCCTGCTCCCAGGGCTTGCCCAGGAGCTGCTGGCACAGGGCTGCCACACACGCAGGCTGAGGTCAGGGACTGGCTTTGTTCAGCGCTGGGGCTTCCACAGGTGTTTCCTGAGAGGCTTTTCCTTGCATGCCGAGAACCGGTGAAGGAGCTGCCTGGCCCTTTCCCATTCCCAGGGCCCCTCTCCTTCTGCCAGGCAGACAGGAGATGTGCTGGCTCAGCACACACGTGTGAGGGCAGTGTGCCACAACCCCCAGACCCTGGGGCTGTCACTGGGCTTGTATCCCCACGGCACCTCCATGCACTCCAGACTGCTGGATCTTGGAGATGGTCTGGATGTGAACATGGATGCCTGGAAACTATGGGGATAGGTCCCAGAGCAAATGCCCTCCCAGGAACTCCTGCTGAGACTAGCCTGGCAGTGCCACCTCCCCATGTGCTGCCAGGCCTGGCTCTGCTGGGTGCTGGGTCGTGCCACGCTGTGCTGGCTGCACACTGTGTGACCCTCCCCGAACTGAGCACCTAACCTGTCACTGGCTACAAGGTGGGGATCACACTCCATGATCTGCCCTGAATTCTTCATGATGGCCACAAGGAATCAAACGTGGCTTTCTGGGGCTCGAGTCCCCTGCCTGGCCAGCAGCTCGCTGCACGGGCTGTCCCATCCCAGCTGAAGCTAGAGTGGAAGCACAAAGGCTCCAACACTCCCCATGCCCTTAGCACCCACCCCGTGGGGCTGCCCCAGACGTGTGGGGCTGCCTGTGAATAGCATCCAGCCAGGGATGAGGGTCACGTAGGGAAGAGAAGAACTGTGCGGATTTCTCTCAGGTTTAGAGAGATGAAAGCTATCTTTGTGAGACAGCACACCACAAAGCTATAAAGGGCTTTTCATTGTACAACGACACGAGGTTAGCTCCAGTCTAATCCCTACACATTATTTCATGCAAAAACTAACACAATCTCTGCGGCAAAAAAATATCAGTTCTAAATAATGTGAATTCATGGAACGTAACTTACACAGCACAAAGGAACGTCACAAGTCTCAAAAAATCTCACAGGTTGTAACAGCACTTCAGCAAAAGAGGTGGAAGAAAACTGAGCTCCTTTTTACAGCAGGAGAAATGTCAGTAGAGCCAGGATGAGATACATCCCTGCAGGAGCTGAGCCTGGATCTGCCAGACCCCCCTCAGAAAACCACAGGTGAGGAGACACCTCAGCAGCTCCTGGAGGACATGCTGAGCTGTAGCTCCTGTTCCTCAGCCAGCTGGAGAAGGGGGTGGAGCTGCTTTAAGGGGTGCAGTAATTCCCAAAGGAACACTCAGAGACAGCCACTCACCACGTAGGAGTATCGCTCCCTGGACCTGCCTTCCCGGCTCACGTTAACCGTTACCACATCTGAGAACTCCTCCTGAGCCTCTCCAGTCTGGCACACGATCCTGCGGATGGACGAGGTGGTTGGCAGCTGCTCCGAGCACAGCAGCAGGGACAGGAGGGATAGGCACAGGCTGGGGACACGCAGGGGACAGGGTCCTCCTCCCCACCCCCATACTCACGTCTCAGAGACGACGTATCTGTCGGGCAGCGGGGCGCAGTGCACGCCGCCCACCCGCACGGCGCCGAGGACGTCGCTGAAGCGCCGGCCCAGGTTCCTCCCGCGGATGGTCAGCAGTGTGCCTCCCTCCAGGGGCCCGCGGCTCGATCTGCAGCACCAAGGCACAGGGCAGAAAGTCAGAGGGTCACAGAATCCCAGAAAGGTTTGGGTTGGAAGAGACCTCAAAGATCACCTAGTCCTAATCCCATGCCACGGGCAGGGACACCTTCCACTAGTGCAGGTCAGGGAAGAACCACCATGAGTTTCTGGCCTTCACCCTGAGCTGATTCCTGTGCTCACATCCCATGGACCCCCAATGAAGCAGATAGAATCAATCCTCACACTCCTCCTCCCCCAGCACACCCATCACCACTCTTTTTTCACTGTGGCTTGTCAAAGGAGAAGCCATCACACTTCTGTGCTGGGTTTGGTCAAGGATCACTCCAACTGCCACATCTAAGGCGAAACATCCCCAGCTTTGAATCCATCTCCTACACCACTGGTTTCTCCTGGCAGCTGCTGCCCCAGCACTGTGTGGGAACAGGGTGCTAGCTGTGACACCATGCCAGCACTACGAGGGGCACCCCCGGGCAGAGCGACCACGTTAACTTCAGCAGGTGAGACAACCCTCTCCAGGCAGAAACAGCTCTTTCTCCTTTGCACAGGTGATGGCACACACAGCCAGCACAACGTGCCTGGTGGCACCAGGTGGCCAGGGCTGGTGTGCACCCACTCACAGGTTTGGTGCCCCCTTTGCTGGCTGCAGTGCCCTCCAGGAGAGCTCTGCTCGCGCTTGCCTGCTCGCGTGACTCCGGAGGGTTTGGATTTACCAGCCACTATTTGCTAAGGAAATAGTGACAGAGGTGGTGACGCTCTGCAACCTGAACTGTGGTTTCCTTCCATTATTTTCTGGGGAGGTGCTGATAACACTCGATGAGTGCAGGGAAGGACAGGCTCAGGGGCAGCACTCCCCTCCCACGGTGACGAGAGGGAAGCAGCAGGTGATGGGGATCCTGCAGCCCTTCTGTGCAGTGTTACAGCACTCAGATCACTACATGCCTCCCTAAGGGCAAAAATCCCATATCCCTGCCAATTCTGATGTTCACATCGGCTGTTTTGCCTCTTTAGGCTCTCCTTTCCTAGGGACCTCATTTTACAATCTGGTCTATTTTCTTTGCTCCTTGTCAGGGACCATTTTGTTGGCTCCTACCATACCCCTAAAGCAGAACCCCAGATCCAAGAGCTCCAACAAACATTCACTTAACTACAATTTAAATAAAACTCATTTCAAAATGCATAATGCCCAAAGGTCCCTCTGCCACTCTTCATCTCAGAACTGCAGAGCACACGTGCCTGGAGACAGGGCTCATGTGCACAGTTCAGCCATGCTCCATTAAATGCTACTCCTGATAGGGATCCTTCAGCCAACCTTACAAATTTTCCTTAGTTTTACCAAGCAAGACACTATAACCCAGGAACTCTGGGGCATTTGGATTGCGCTGCCGTTGTACTTCCCACTAACACCATGAAGACCAGATCCTGTCACTAGCAAGATGTCTTTGGCACCAGGTGACTCAACAGCAAAATAAGTCAGTGAATAATTCAGCACTGGTCTTGACCCTGTCCTGTGCCAGGGATAATGTGAAGCTCCTCATCTGCCCCAGCCAGGACAGCGTGGCTGGTCCCAGCCCTCAGCACCACCCGCCACGGCACACCACGCACACCCTCCACGTCGCTTTTGGGTCTTACCTTCCTTATCTCAGGAGGGGGACAGATGTCAGACACCTGGGGGGGCTCGGTGTGCAGCCTGCAGCTGGAGCTGCTCTCACTCCAGAGGCAGCGGTGCCCCAGGTCCTCCCTCCCCAGGCACTGGGAGCAGTCGGCACTGCCGGTCGCACAGTTGTACACCTCCACTGCACCACCAGAGACAAAACACACCGTCAGCTCAGGGCCTGAGGCTTTCACAGCTCTGCTGAGCCCCAGGCAGTGGAACACTCCCCCCCTCCCATCACCCCCTGGCTGCATTAATCCCAGTAGTATCCCAAATCCAGTGGATGAGCAGAGCAGTCTGCACACACCACGAGGGAGGCAGCGCTTGGCTGCCATCCTGCAGATTTCCCAGAAGGCCTGGGTGCCTGTTCTCACTGTAATATAATTTAGCACTTTCTTTTCCTTTTTCTTCCCCTTGAAAAACAAACAACACCCAAACTCGGAACCTTTTGTCAATTTATGCTACATGTTTCCAACTCTCAGCATCCACATGGGAAGCTGCTTGGCAAAGCTGGCACTATCCTGCCAGCAAAGCAATCACATTGCTTCCACACTAAAAAAAAAATGGGGTGGTTTGTGCTGTGAACAGTGTTTACAGTTCCTTTCCATGCCCCTGTGACCATGGGCCCCTTTTATTGACTTCTCCCTTTAGAACTGCTCAACTCAGCTTTCACATCTTTTTCCTATACCACCTTCCTCTCCATTAGCTGGTGCCCTGGGCTACATTTCCTCTCCAGCCTAAAGACTTCTGCCATAATAGAGTGGGTATCCGCTGAGATAACAGCCAGGAATGCTCAGGAAACATGGCTTTCACACCCTTTTCCCCAGAGGAGACTTTGCAGGAGAACATAAAACACAGAAACAGTCACATTTGGCACTTCTGCTCACGGGAGCATCTCAAAGTGCTTCATGAGCAACTAACGAGTCCCTCAGCCTCAACACTGTGCTGTGCCATGCTAATGAAACACCACCAGCACCAGCACTCTGCCTGTGCTGTGCTAACAAAATATCACCAGTACCATGGGGCTTTCCTACTCTCCACAAAATATCAGCTTATTCCGCCTCGTCTGCAATCCCCCAGGGACTTACACTGTGGTTTCCACCCAACAGCAGAGCTGGGATTCCTTCAGTGGACAACCAAAACACAGTGTGCAATAAAAGCTAAGAAATATTGAAATAATAACCACTAATATCAGTGATTTCATTAAAAACACTATAAAAGTTTATAATTGGTCTGGCAGATCTCTGTCCCTGATGCAAGGCAGCCTCTCTAACATGCCTCACACCAGCCTGAGCAAGACCTGAGCAAGGAGGAGCCAGAACAGCCCAACAGTCCCATGGGAACTCCAAATATTCCAGCCAATTCAGATGGATGCAAACAGCCTGTGTAAGAGAGCTCCTTCTCCATGCTGGAGGAGGGGGAATTCCACC